GGGACATCATACTTAGAAAGATAGCAAGTTCAGTGAAGGAGAGAAAGATCTCCAACAAGATGATTTGCTACAGTGACTTCAGCAATGGGCTCTAGTGTGTCAGAGATGACGATGGCTCAGGATAGGACAAGGTTCAAGTCAGCTGTTCTTAGGGTCACTATGAGCCATTATTAAATTGACAGCACTTAACAACAACAACAACTTATTTACAGATTGTAGATTCCAGAGAGGTTACAGTTTTCCTACGTAATTTCTCAATGTTTAACATGTTGCCACAAATGATGGCAGAATGTGTTTCTAAGCACGGTCGTCATTTTAAAAGTGTGCGGCAACGTGTTAAATATCCAGCTTTTACCTCAGCAACCATTTAAATGCTAAATGATTATCTATTTTTGTGTACTGAAAAATCAATGCTAACTCACAGTGATGCTGTAGAGAGTGAAACTATGCAATGGAGATTCTTGGGCTGCAAACACTGAAGAAACAAAACGTCTGATCTTTTCTCTCAGGAATCACTAGTGGATTTGAACATCAACGTGTAGGTTAGCCGCCCAGCTCTTAATCATTTCTCTACCAGAGCTCTTCAGTGAATGTCTCGTGTGTGTGTGTGTGTGTGTGTGTGTGTGTGTTGTTAAGAATGTCATTAAGTTTTCACTATCAGAAGCAGTTACAAGGTGTTTGATACATTTTATTTTATACTTTTGCTAAAGTAAGTATTTTAATTGTCCTGTGTTTAAGGATGATGGATATCTTAAACAATGAGCAAGTTCAGGCAATCTAAAATACTTTCATTGTTGTTCTCTCTTTGGATGTCTCTTTCTTATGTTGTTGCTATCTGCCGTCGAGTATTCTTGCAACTCATAGCAACCCTATGTACAAGATCTCTGAACACTGCTCTATCCTGACCCAACTTTATTGTACCTGACATACTTACCTCCTTTACCCAAGTCATTGAGTCATTCCATCTTATCAAGGGTCTTCCCCTTCTATGCTGTCCCTCCACCCTCCTAAACATGACTAGTCCCTCCTTGCAATGTATGTCAGACCAAACTTCAGAATCCTTGCCTCCAAGGAGCAGCCTGGCTTCATTCTCTCCAGAATGAACCTGTTTGTTCTCTTAGAAATCCCTGGTATATATTCAATGTTCTTCTTCAGTACCATATCTCAAAGACATCAATTCTCCTTCGATCATCTCTAGTCATTGTCCAGCTTTTTAATGCATAGCAAATTATTGTGAGGACCTTGGCCTGGATCAGGTGCCCGTTAGTCTCCAGACTGACAGTGTTGCTCTTTAGTACTCTAGAGATGTCCCGGACAGCAGGCTTTCCAAATGAAATTAGTCTTTTAATTTCCCGGCTGCTGGTACCAAGAATGTTGACTGTGGAGTCAAGCAAACTAAAGCTGTTAACAATCTCAATCTCTTCACTGTCTTTCATGGTGCTTCCAGTCTGTCCAGTGGTGAGGATCTTTGTTTTCTTGATGTTGAGCTTCAATCCATATTGAAGGCTGCAGTCCTTGACCTTCTGCAGCAAGCATAAAAGGTCCTCCTCAGTTTCAGCAAGCAGGGTTGTGTTATCTGCATAACGTAGGTTGTTGATGAGTCTTCCTCCAATTCTGATTGACATTCCTCCTCGTAGAATCCAGCTTCTCAGATGATCTGTTCTACATATAGATTGAAAAAGTATGGAGATAGTACACATCCCTTGTGTACAACCTTGCCGATTTTAAACCATGCAGTGTTTCCGTGCTCTGTTCTGACAACTGCCTCTGGTCCAAGTATAGGTTTTGCATAAGAACAATCAAATGTTTTAGTATCCCCATTCTTCTCATAGCCAGCCACAGTTTGTTGTAATCCACATAGTCAATGCCTTTGCGTCAATGAAACTCAGACATTCCTCTGGAACTCTCTGCTTTCAGCCAAGATTTATCCAACATTAGCTATGATATCTCTAGTACCATGCCTCTTTTAAATCCAGCCTACATATCTAGCAGTTCTCTGTTGATGTGCTGCTCCAGTCATTTTTAGATAAAAATACTTGTGTTTTTAGTGACTTGAAGTATCTCAGTAGTTCAGATAATAGAGTATGACTTTCTTTAAGAATCTATTGAGAGAATGGCCCAAACTTTAGATAACATTTAAAGTCAGAATAAAGTTTGGAATCTTATTTTGTATTTACTGAGTAGTCAATGCCAGTATTTTAGAAGGAGTCATGTGATGATACTTTAAGAAATGATATGATTCCTTCCTCAACAGAATGTCCTATAGTTGTTTTCTTGCTATTAATATGCTTTTATCAAAGGCAGATAAGTAGAAAAATTGTTCGGTTTTATATTTTGAAACCCTATACATATGTATTCATATATTCCAGGTTCTTGGGATTTTTAATGTTAAAAATAATGAACTTACTCATAAGGGACAAACTGGGATCAAGCTTAGATGGCCTAGTATATGGCCAAACACAGACAGATATGCACAGTATGGAGAGGATAAAATTAATGAATGAGAACTTCTAAAGATTAAATCCCTGTGCACATCAAAAACTTTTTTCCAACAGAGTGAAAATAAAACCTATTGATTGGGAAAAAACATTTGGAAATACCCTTTCAGACAAGGGTCTCATAATAAAAATTCAAACAATCTTACAGAGCCTCCCCAAGAAAAAAGACCAATGACCAATAACACAATACAAAATGGACAAAAATACATGGAAATAATTTTCACAGAGGAGGACATTCAGATGGCCAATAGACACATGAAGAAATGCTCAGAATCACTGGTAATAAGACAGATGCAAATCAAAGCCACAATGAGGTATGAGGTACCATCTTAACCCAACAGCAGTGGTAAAGTTTAACAGGACAACAGACAATAAATGTTCAAGAGGATGCAGAGATGTGGAGAAATAGTAACTCTCATATACTGTTGGTGGGATTGTAAAATGGTACAGCCACTGTGGAAGGCAATTTTACTTTTCCTCAAAAAGCTGGACATATAAATTCCTTATGACCCACCTATTCCACTGCTTGGAATATAACCCAAGAAAATGAGAACTGAGACAAAAATGAAGGATCATATATCAGTGTTCATACCAGCATTATTCACTATTGCAAGAACATGGAAATAGCCTAACTGTCCAAACACAGTCTAATGGAATTAGAAAATATGGTTCATTTACACCTTGGAATATATGCAGCATGTAGGAGCAATGATTTTGAAAACTACTACCTAACTTGGGAGAGACTAGAGAACATTTTGTGAGGTGAACTAACTCAGTCCCACAAGCACAAATATTGTATAAGGCCATTGTTGTATAAATATTAATACCAAATAATAATAGTAAAATGTGGACAAAGATCTAAGGGCCAGGGTGGAAGCAAAGGGTGAGGATGAGGAAGTGGTAATTATAGGGTCGCACAATTTGATGAGGGGATGGGTTAAGAAAATGGGAAAGATCTAGTGTGAAAACATATGTATACAAACTTTGTAAGTAAACCAGTATAAAATAAATAATAAATAAAATTAAAATGCGTTAAAAAAATATTAAATAAATTGCTGTGTGGGTGTGTGTGTGTGTGTACGTGTATGTGTGTGAAAATGTAGCCCCTTTAGAGTATACTCCCAGTAGTGGCACTAGGTATGTTTAGAAGATTCTAGGCTGAGAAAATGTGCTTACAGAAATTAGGGCCATTTTAAGTAATATATGGGGTATTCAATCAACTTTCCCTTTAAAAAATTTTTACAAATGTCTTTTGTAGGGACATTAAAATTTTTAAATTGGTTAAAACTTGTATATTAAAGGTAATTCTATTCAGTGAGCAAACTAGATAGTGCCTTTGTTTAAAACTATGTTTTTAAAATTCAGGCTAAAATTACAAACTGACAGTTTTTCTTTACTTGATCCAGTCACATTTCAACCTAGTTCTCATGGTTTTGCTTTTTTGATGTGGGTCTTTTGGATTTTTTTGTTTTGTTTTGTTTTTCCAGATAAAGTTCTAAGAGGTAAAGAAATCCTGTCTACTTCATGCCTTATTTAGTAAAATAAATCTTGGTGTTTAAGGATCCATCAGTACAAAGAACCATACTTTATTTCCAGATCTGTTTTGAACAATTACTGTACTGTTCTCCTTTCAAAATTGTTATATGTGGATGGAGGATTTGAAGTAATAGAGAATTTATCCCAGAATATACTCTTCAGCTTTGGGGGGGGTGGGGAGGAGGAGAAACCTACTATATGTTTACTTTCATTTAACTTGCCATTTATAAATATTAAAACAAATTTCAGGTGAGTTAATTCTGATAAATCCAGTTGAGTTTAACTTATCAAGATTTAATTATAAATTAAATGTAAGCAAATGAAATCTGACCATGAATCCTAGTAGACTGCTAGGGTTCATTGCAGTCAATCCTTCATAAAATGTCAAAATGGAATTACTCATGTATCAAAACTGATTTATGATTTTCTAAAAACAGCCATATATTTCTATTTCTGAATAGTGCTATTTCTGAGTAAATAGTACGTTAAAAGTAGTCTATTCTTCAACATCTCAATGACAATATTATATGTCAATAAAAGACTATCAGGAAATACCAATGAGGTTTTTGCATTGTATGGTAGAAGTCCTTTTGCTGTGTATATACGTTTCATATACATTTCAAAATTACATTAATCTTTTTTATTCAATTTTGCTGCTTAATTACCCTAATGTTTTTATAGGTTGGCCAGATTAAATAATGACATTTTTATGTAGCATATGGTCTTCTTTTCTATACTTAGGTTCTCTCATTAGGAGCAGATGTCCTGCCAGAATATAAACTGCAGACACCACGCATCAACAAGTTTACGATATTGCACTACAGCCCCTTCAAGGCAGTTTGGGATTGGCTTATTCTGCTGTTGGTCATATACACTGCTATCTTCACTCCCTATTCTGCAGCTTTTCTCCTCAATGACAGAGAAGAACAGAAAAGACGAGAATGTGGATATTCTTGTAGCCCTTTAAATGTGGTAGACTTGATTGTGGATATTATGTTTATTATAGATATTCTAATAAACTTCAGAACCACATATGTAAATCAGAATGAAGAAGTGGTAAGTGATCCGGCCAAAATAGCAATACACTACTTCAAAGGCTGGTTCCTGATTGACATGGTTGCTGCAATTCCTTTTGACTTACTGATTTTTGGATCAGGTTCCGATGAGGTAAGAATGGCTAAGAATCTTATTTTCTGAATGGTTGCAATTATGTAAGTCAATCTCTTTTAACTGCAAAAGGAAGAAGAAAATAAAGGTTGATTTACAAACTGTATCTCACAGATGATATTCATTTTCAGCTGGATTTATTACAAAATTAAATGGAACCATATACCACTACTTATCATTCACAATTCAGTTTTTCACTAAGAGATGCTAAGGACGAACCTGTTCTTTAATTAAAAAAAAATTAAACCTTTAGACAAATGGTACAGAACACACTGCACATTTGCAGGGATTAAAACATTTCCCATTAAAAAAAAAAAGGAAAAAAAAACCATTTCCCATTAGCTTCATGAGTCTCAAACCCTCAAATATGGAGAATTCTTCTTTGGTTTTTAACTCAATTATTATTTGAGACAGCAATAACTTTTATATTTGTCTAAACTGTTAAGGAAAAGGAACCTTGTGAAATTTTGTGTCCACTATCCTTTCTCTAAGTGTAATACCTAGATGGGAAAATACTTCCTTGTGTGTTCCCAATATCTTATGAAGTCAGTAGCTTTAAGTAAATAAGATAATTAGATACACCCTTTCTGAGTATTAAGTCCCTAAAGTATTAGATTTATAAAGTTAATGACTTACCACTAATTTTCCATTGTAAATGGACTTTCTAAATCCTAATAAATGGGAATAGTTGTAGAAATAGTGAAAGTTATTAAGGGAGTAGGTTAAGAGAGATAGGCTCAATATGGTGAATTTTTAAAATTCCGTAATATTCTTTTGTCCTAAGAAGCTTTTACCATCACACTGTTTTTTCAGGGATAGGATGGCAGGTGGAAGTAAGAGAAATCATAAAAATTCCTTCAAATGGTTGCTTGGCAATTAAGATTTCAGAGCAAAAGAATTACTTTTTGTCAGTGAATATTATAGGTTTAGAACTCTCTCTGATAGAGCACATCTGTCAACGATGGGCAGTTAAAAAAAAAGATCAAAAGGATAAGACATTGTGCCAGAGTTTTAATAGTTCCTCCACTTACAAACCTTAGACAATGTCTCAAGCCTGGTTATCTTCATCTGTAAAAGGATGATGATAATATAGTAATATATTCCTTCTCAAGCTTTCTTTTTATTTTTTATGATAAGAAATCTCTTCACCTTTTTTTTTTTACATTCAGTTCTGAGGTGGAAGAAATGCTTGACTTTTATTCTACATTATTGTACTTACGCTAAGAGGATACTTTAGCCTATGTATTTCTGCTAGGGCAGAGATTATGAAATGTGAGCACAATTGCTCACAATTTTCCAAATTAATAATTTCATTTCTTGATCTTAAATAGTATATCATCATTAATAGTTAGGAAGGGAGCTCTGGCCTAGCGCTAAGAAGCTGTACTGCAACCCCAAGAGCATATGGTTCAAATCCACCCGCTGCTGTGTGGGAGAAAGACAGGCAGTCTCCTCCCGTGCAATTAACTACCTCTGAAAACCCACTAGAGGGTCAGCTATGGGTCGTGTCTGACTCGATGGCACACAATAACAAATAGAATGATAAGGAGCTCTGACGGTATATCTGTATGAAGTTGTCCCAAGTTGTCCGGGTAACTCAAAGGTCAAAGGTGTGTCTCTGCGTGGTTGAATCCACCATGGACTCTGGGGAAAAACAGGCAGAGTCTGTGCAGTTTTTAACCTCAGAAAGTCAGTTCCAACTCTACAACTATAACAGAGAGAGAGCAAGAGAGAGACTATTAAATGAAGACTATTATATAATGTAATATTGTCTGGGGTTTTGGTGCCTCCCTTTTGGTGGCTAGATGCTCAGCTCATCTTGACTGCCCCCTCCCAGAGCAGGTGGCCCTTGAGTCTTAGACTATGGGTAGAGGCCTGCTAGAGGGTGTGGCTTTAAAATCCTGTAGGGCCTTTGGGCCTGCAGCCCTTTACCCAAATTTGTTAATTTTAGAATGAATATTCTTTAAAAGACACAGCAAACATTTGTCTATTTGCTGTACTGAACAACTTGGCATTGCTGTGATGCTGAGCACTGTTCCACAGTCATGTCAAATACCATAATTATTACTCATTATGTACAATGGTTGGATGAGCTTCCAGATAGATTCATGCTGGGAAACAGGAGTAACACCCACTTCCTAAACTAGATGCCTCTGGAAACTGCCAAGTCCCTAAACTCTGTAAAGGTATAGAAATGATGTTAATTATAGAAGAGTTCAGGTCTTTTGTACAAAGCTTACTCTGAGTCATATTTGACTCAATGACACTTAACCACAGCTAAATGAAACTAGTGCTGTTATATCTGGAGGAACATTCTTCCACTTTGCACATCACTCTTTGTCAGTGTGCTGTATGAAGTAACCTGGGTTTGTTGTGATGCTGAATCTTGTGTCACTGGGGTATCAAATACCATAATTGTTTCCCATTGTAGACAGTGTTTGGTAGAGCTCTGAGTTGTAAACTAGATTTAGAAGAAGGAGTGGCATCTACTTTCTAAACCTCTGGAAACTCTATGAACTTGGAGAAACAACTATAAGTATGGGAAGGCATTAGGTCTTTTGTTCATAGATTTGCTATGAATCGTCCTCAACTTGACGGCAATCAAAACAACATTACATAAGGTTAGACACATTTTGAAGAAAATTAATACTTTCAAAAGTTTGTCTTGCTTCTTGCCATTAATAATTTTGTTAATACTATTCAGACAAATGAAAGGAAAGATTTTCTGTATCCTCTTTTTGCATCATCAGCTGCTATGTAAAGCTCTTTCAATATCACTAATGCAAAGAAAAAAAAAATTATTGGCTTAGTCTCCCAAAAGTAAAATTTTTATTATTTGACTCAAATTTTGTTCTTTTATTCTTCACCTAACAAAGCTTATTTTTTTAAGATATCAAGTTAGATTCCATAATAATCTGTTTAGTTACATGCTTCATTTAACCTCCTCTTTCTTGGGGGCGGGGGAGGTATTTTTCTAATTATTTGTTTTGGTGGCATGTCTCTTCTAATAATTTGCTAGTATATTTCATGAACTCTGAATCCAAAAAAGAAAAGACTTTAAAACAAAAAGTCTGTTGTTCTCTTATAGGAATAGTTTCAAAGAAATTAATTTCTGTTCTCTCTTACATGTTTATTTTCAGTTAATCTATATAAATAGTGGAATGAATATGAGGAAATTAGCAGGTATCCATATAAAAATTCTGATAATCTTTTACATTTTCTTTCTAAACTCAATATTTAATAGATACTTAAGTTTGTTGAACTGAGTTTCTCATGAAGATGGATGGGATAGGGCAAGGGTTAGATTCATACAGTCACTGTGAGTCAACGTCTACTTGACAGGAAATAAACGCATCAAAGTGTTCAAATATAAACAACAAAGCACATTTCTGATGGTATATATGCATATACATATATACACACATAAAGTTATCCATACTTCTGTCTTTAGAATAGTTCCTGGGAGTTAAGGTAGAAGTTTCCAGTGGTTCTGTACATCCTGCCTTCAAAATCCATGAAATGACAAATAAGAGGTAGAAAAATCCTCTATGGTATAAATTTTTTAATGAAGGAAATATGATAGCACACTATGCTTACCCACACACAATCATGTTACTTTTAGGTGATTATTTATATGTAAGTTGTTGTTGTTGTTCTTGATTCTAGAATACATATATAATTTATTAACTACATCTTGCTAGAGATAGCAAAAGGTAAAATTCTCTGTTCAGTATTTCTCAGGACAAGAATAAATTTCATTTTTTAAATATACAACATTTACATTTGCTTATATCTGGTAGCATAGTCCATGGGGAGGACTGCTGGTAAAGGTTGTGTCTCTCTGGTAGTTCAATTCTACCAGGGACTCTTGGGAGGTGGGGAGAATGGGCCATCTTCTCTGGTGTGATTTATAGGCTCAAGAAAACCCATTGGAGTGTTCGGCTATAAATTAGTTCAAACATGATGGAAATAAGTTTGAGTTTATTTTCTGTAATTTTCACCCATTTCTATTGAGAATTATTTAATAACCAATATTCTAATGTCATCCATTGTAACTAAATAAAAACAAGTTCAAGTTGCATAGCAGACTATTTAATAATAAGAAAATTAGAATGTAATAGTATCAACTGTAAAGGCTAAAATATCAGAATACTTTTCTGATACAGTTTTTTTCTTTCTTAAAGTTATTTGTAAGAATTTATGAGGTTTGATAGGAATAAAAAATGATAAATTAGGTAATTCCTCAAGTTCATTTGCCTACTCAAAACATAGTTTGTTGTTGTTTTTAATTGTGTCAGGGAATGTGTCCTTGGAAATTGTGTGAGTCATCTGAACAAAAGATTATAAACAAGTTTCATTGAGACTGAATTTTCACTGAGTAAGTCTTTGAATAGTTTAAACGACAAGTATGGAGAAAGAGATTTGAACGGAAACCTAAATCAAAGCATGGGTATGAAGTCACAATACTTGCTGTCAACTGTGTTTCCTTTTCCTCTTTTATATTCAAATATTTCTTGACAAATAGAACAGAGTTATAAAATGCCAGTAATCATTCATTTTGACTACCCTATAATTGACATTTATATTCCCTCTTTTATTAAAAATTTAGAAACATTTCTATTCCTTTTCATAGCACTCATTCACTCACGGCCATAGAGTCAGAAAAAATAAATAGCTGACCCTCCAGTGTTTTTCCAGAGATTGTAAATCACATTTGAGAAGACCACCCATCTTTCTTGGAGGAGTTGTTGGGTTTGAACTACAGGCCACTGGGTTGACAGCTCAACCACTTATCCTTTAGGCCACCAGATCTCCCTTATTTACATATAGGCTAGGATTTTAGAGAGTAGAACTGATGTGATTTTAAATGTAAAATTGTTGAAAATGCTTATGAAGAACCATTTTTTAAATTATATAGGAACATTTTTAAAACAATTTTCACTCTTCTACTACTGATGAGGTTTTCTCAGGGTGGCTATAGCCAAGGGTTTCTTCAGTTG